AGAGGATGGCTGCTGCTCTTAAGCCCCTGCCAGCTACATGGGAGACCAGAAGAAGCTCTGGACTCCTGGCCACAGCCTGGCTCAGCTCTGCGCATTATGGCCAATCAGGGAGTGAATCAGCAGATGGGAGATCTCTCTCTCCTTTTCTCTTTGTGACTCTGCTGTTCAAATAAATAAATATTTAAGCATATTAAAAAAGCAGTTTATCCCAACAAGGACACTAATATACGCATGGCCATCTGTGTTCCCGGCATGTGAAAGCTCTGGGCATTGAATAATGTCTTGATCATTACATCACTAACACCATACATCACCTGAAAAGTCATGCATGTTTTATATGGTGAAGCATTTCTCCCAAGGCTTTGAATATGAATCATGTCACCTTTGGGACATAGGAGGTGGTGAAAAATGGGGAAGGAAAAATGAAGCCAAAGTAGATTGAATAACAGTGAGATGATAGTGCAGAGAACGAAAGAAAAAAGGAAATAAATGTACTGCAAAGGGTCGAGTCAAACTTCAGGAGCCTGTTAGTAGGGTATAATGAGGCTCTTTAAAGGGCAGTTGTACATTTTTCTAAATTATTTTCTGCTTCTAGCAATGATGGGATCCCAGTCTTATACACCAGCACTGGTTCTTACATCTTTTGTGTGAACACCCCAAGCCCATCAAACCTTTTCAGTTCTTTTGATCATGTGGTCCTATCTTACAGATGGCTCCTCTGTGCTTTGAAAACTGGTTCTCCATCATCAGTCACTAAGCTGCTTTCTTGACACAGAGCTGACAGCCACATAATATTCAAGGCCAACTGTGTTCATTCTCACCACTTGTTCCTTTGTGAAATGGCACCTTTGCTCTGAATATTTTCTCCATGCAGATGGTGGTCAGTATTGTCACCTGCCTCTGCTTTGAATTGTCACCTTCACAACAGCTCCTTAAAGGAAAAGTTGCTGTTGTCTGTTTTCTGTGAGAAGGTGGCACAACATGGAGAGAGTAGCATCTGATTAGATCATGATTAACCTGGGAACCCTTGTGCAAGCGGCAGCCACGGCAACCAACCATTGCCTGTCAGCTCTGGCCTAGGAATTCCCATCGTTGTTTCAGTTGTTATGGAAACAGCTCATACTACTTTTAAAAACGGAATTCATTATTCCAACCAACCATTTTTTCTGTCCTGGTCATTATAAAGTATTCAAGTCAGTGACACAGACACATTGGTTGAAGGATCCCAGAGATGGAAGGTTGGTGATTGGAAAGAATTGTGGGGGAGGCAGAACTTACACCTGACCTTGAGGCATGATTAAATAGGGAAGAAGATATTTCAAGTGAAAACACTGCTGAAAGCGGTTTGAGAGAGAATAGGGATATTAGTGGGGCTGGAGCTTAAGGCTGAGACATGAGAGTATAGTGGAAAGTGGAAGAGACACACACAGGAACCAATCAGAAGAGAGCTTTGAGGGCCAGTCAAAGGAGTCTGGATCTTTCTGTGGACAATGGAGGACTGGTGGACACTTTAAAACAGAGAAACAGTTTGTTACGAATACTAATTTTGTCTTATGGATAACAGCTTAGGCCCTGGTTGACAGTACAACCCCGCTGTGGTTCTTCTACATGCCAAGACAACAATCTGGAACATGAAAAAGTTAGTCATCTGTTCTGCCAGCCAGAATCATTTGTGTTCTGCTAAAAGCAGTGGGCTCCTCTTTATTAAAATGCATCAAAACAGCCCTGTGTGGGTCAGCAACAGAGCTTCAGACTGATGTGCAATAATGCAGTCTCCCTATCCCAGGCTGCCATCTGTCGGGGGGTGGGGAGGGTTGAGAACTACAGCCTTTAGTTTCCAGAATGAAGAGTAGTCACCATGTTTGAAGGAGGCATCCCAGGAGGTTATTCTAATTCAAAAATCCTAGGAATTCACTGACTGTTTTTTCTCTCTCAACACAGCATTCTGTCCTGTTTGCCGACTTTGGCCTCTGCAACCTCTTTTGTACCCTGCTGGCTGTCACTGCAAAACCTTCAGATTATCAGCATTACAATTCCTCAATGACTGTTTCAAAAATCAGAGCAGCATATACTCCGGGGTGAATATTATGAGAGGGAGAGAAGTAAGCAAACTCCTGGCCTTGTGTGCTTCTCCCTAAAACAGGGCAGGAAAAACCTGACAGCATGAAAGGGAATGTCAATTTCACCTAGGATTAACTAAGTTGGGCCTCTCTCAGAACTTTCAGGTTAATATCTTGGGCTGGTTTGGCCTTGGTAGAAGTGTGGCCCAGAATTCTCTTGTCCTGCTGTGCAAATCCCAATCCTTAAGATCCACTGGATAGGTTTCCAGGTCTTAGATGATGACAGGATCACTGCTTCAGAGATCAGTGTTCTGCTGTGGAAAAGTACTAGCGATTGTAGCCAAGGCCACAAAAGAGACTGCAGCTTTCCTATAAGCTTTAGATGGTCCCACGTGCTAATGAATATTCCAATGGACTGAACAAGAAGACTGGAGAAATATGCTGAGACTGGCAAGAGGCTTAGCTATTGAAAAGATCACCACTGACAGTGTTCTGAAAGGAGGGGTCTCTTACCCTCCTCACGGACAAAATACACTGGCCTCCCGGTGATGCTGACTGAACTAGGAACTAAAAATCCTGGCAGCCTACTGAATCTCTTAGGCTGTGGGTCAGGATGTAAGCCACTGTTTAAAAACCACTTTTTTTTTTTTGCACTAGCACTTTCCATCTCTTTAGAAATGTCGCTGTAGAAGCTGTGCTGATTGTATGTTTAACTGGTCTCGTGTGCTGCTCTTTACTGCTATCCTCAACAGATATCCCTCTTGATGTAAATTTAATTATCCACCTTGATAAATCCATTATAATATATGTGTTTAAAAGGGCAGTCACATCAGTTTGTATTCACAATTGTTTTGTACCTTCTATTGTCCATAGATAACATCCAACCTTTTTAATTAGAGCAGTGAAATACAGGAGCTAATTTGGTTAAAGTTTTAAGAAAAACCTTTTGCTCAGAGCAACAGCTGTGAAGCTGATCTGTACTATCAAACTTTGTTTAATGTCCTAGGTTTTACATCATGTGATCTGACCTTCTGAAGGGCGCAGGTCTTAGAAGCCAGTTAAGTAGATGTCATTAGTTGTGCCCAGACTGAAGCCACAGTTGGAAATACAGTTCAAAATTCAGCTGTGTGTGCTTAACAATGGCCAGATCTAAAAGGGTATTACTGCTAGAGAGAGCAACAAAATCACAGAACATGCTGTACTATTTTTGAAAGCTTTTTTGGACTGCATTATTAAGAACACAGATTTCTACATGATAATAAAGGGCTCCTACTTTGAACTCCTAGAGATCAAGTTTAAAGAATCTCTCCTTTTCTGAAGTAGGCTTCTAGTGTGAAGGCTGAACAGAAATGTATCATACATTGTCTGTGGTCCGGATGCCAAGTAAATTGCTTAAACATTATGTGGAAAAGGGAATTTTTGTAAGCTGTTGCAAATTGACTTTCTTTTGAAATTATGATGTTGAGCTTCTCATCAATCAGAGCTATAAATAATACATTTTTTCTCTTTCTAAAAAGAATGGGAAACATTCAGTTCCCAAACCTAAGATCCACTAGAGGCAAGCAGATGAGGAGGCAGCAAGGTGGGGCTCCCTCTGCTTGACAACTGCTGTTCTCCTGCACCAGCCTTCGCTTGCCCTTAGCCTTTCTGCTGGCCCCATCTCCCCTCTGGTCTCTGCTGAAACGTCACCTCTTTAGGGAAGCCTTTCTGGTCACCCTTTCTAAAGTAATCACCAGTTAAGCTCCGAACACTTGCTTGAGGTTGTCTCCTATGTCAGCTCTTTGCTTCTTTCCCAAACACTCAAGGATTGTAACACATGAAGTATTCTCGTTGTTGGTATGGAAGTCTGTGAATCCTGCTCACTGCGCAGCAGAGTTCAGTATTTTATACTTATTTGTCAGACAGCTGACCCCGAGTCTGTGTGAGTTCAGGTTAACAGCCCAGAGTGGAGAGGTGGAGTGGGGAGAACCCTGGGGATGAGAAACTATGGCCATGAACCCTGAGTCTTTCTGGCCTCAGAATGAACTTGATGAGTGACTGTGCTTTTATGGTGCTGAAAACCATTCTTTTCTCACTTATTGAGGAAGAGTGGATCTTTTCATTATTTCTGAATATAAATAGATACTTTCTGAAAAGGGTGCAGGTTGTGTATTAACTTTTTGTTCTACCTTGGTGAGCAAAGGAAGAAGTGTTGTATTTTGAGAGGTTCTCTGACAATATTTGTGCTCTGTGCATTTTTAAGTGCTGCCCAACCAGTTCCATTTATTTCCATGAGGATAGCTGTAAATCTGGTCCTCAGATTCATTCTCTATGGATATGTTTCCTAACATTCCCAGGTCTTACTTTTCTCATCTAAGTAATGAGTATGTAATGGCATACATACCACTCCCCTGCACACTGTATAGGGATCGAATGTAATAATATGGAACATAGTAGGAACTAAGAAGATGCTCATTAACCCCAACTGTGTTTAAACCCCAATCAGTTTATCAATGGGTTTCACTGTGTGTGGGCACAAAATGAATTATATCTTACTCTTGCCTGTGCAGAACACAGGGATGGCTATTGAGAAAGACTTCAACATGTGACAATGATGCATTTACTTCAGCAAGGAGGTGATCAGCAACCAGACAGGAAAGCTGAATGTTAGATGTCAACATACTTCATCTTCTCATCTTCCTGACGTGCTGTACTTCCTTTTTATTGTAGATTTAACCTCAGGGTTTTGAGTTCTACTCTTTAGAGTTCTACTTTTTCTACGCCAAAAGGCACCATGCTAAAAGCACCATAAATTGCATAAAAGAAAGTATCAATCAGGAATCCTTTGGGTGCTATTTTGACCCAAAAAGGGGATGTGACTTCACAACAAGGAACAGTCTTCTCACCACTAGGCTGTTATTAGTAGCACTTGAATCAGAAAATATGAAGAGACTTACTCACCCATCATGAAAATGATTTTACACTTCCTTAAATCTTCCATGAAGCCTTCAAAATAAAAATAATTTAAGTTATTGGCAAGAAATACTGTACTGAGACCTTGCTTTTATTCTTGTGCTGGAAAAACCCCAAATCTTGTACTTTCATTTGATAAAGGAAGCTTCAAATTGAGTATGACACTAATAACCATTTCAGCCTTATTCTTGAACTCAGGTATAAATTTTAATTTTAGCACACACTGCCAATTTTAGGTAGTAAATTCAACCCTTAGCATGAACTGCTAATGAAGCTAGTTTTTAAAATCATTTAAAAATCTTCCTAAGGATCTCAGTTTGGTATTATTTCACATTTCAGTCTCCTTTTAATTAAAGAGAGGTTAAAACACAAGTAGAGTATCCAGGAGGCAATGTGTAAAAATAAGTACTATTTACAACAACTAGTGCCATTTTCCACCTGCAGTGATGGTACAAAATTTCATTTAAAAATGAATACAGTTGAATAACCATGAGCCAACCTACTGATGAGCACCAGGTAAATAATATATTATATGGACAACACAGAGATAAAATTCACCACAGTTGTATATGAGGTCTGAATTGTGGGAACTATTGCTTAAGGCAAAGGCATTATTCATGATAGGAACAATGGGCAAAGCATCGATCTTCTGAGGTTTGAGCAGCCTTGAAACACCTCCAAATGTCACCGGCTAGAACAGGAAGACCTGGGGGATGGAGAGTTAAGCCCTGTTTCTTATCCTGCCATTAATTGCCTTGAAATAGGCAAGTGATACCTGTTCCTTGAACTTTAGTTTCTCCAACTGTAAAATGAATGGGTTAGATCTAACCATCTCCAACATCTCTTTTGATTCAAATATTTATGATTCTGTGGTCTCATAAATGAGTGGTCCACATAAAGAAATAACTTTCTTTATCCCTAGGTAAAAATTATGATGTTATTGTTGTATGTTTCCGATGTTTTTAAATGGAAATGTGAATCAGAGAGGAGCTTGGGTGAAGATGAGGGCACATGAAGGGGTGATGACAGCTGGAAATCTAGAATGAGAGAGAGAGAGATAGAGAGAGAAAGAGCGTGAAATGAAGAACTGGGACAAAGAGGGTACAAAGACTTGGACATAGGGTGAGTTTGAGATCTTTGGAACTACATGGATTTCATGCTGAAGGATACATTTTTGTTTCTTTTTAATCCAACAGATGTTCCCATCTCTTTACACAGCAGCCCATTGTGAGTGGAAAAATCTTTAAGGGCTCAGATGGAGTTATCATTCTCTTTGGCTTGCAAGCTGAGTAACTTGAATTGATACCCAGTCTAGGCATATGGCATGGCAATTATTGCTTTTCACTTTTATGGCATGGTGCATCTTATTTCAATAATAAAAAATTATTTTAAAATTACTGACTGTATATCTGGGGACAGCATTGTGGTATAGTGGGTAAAGCTGTCCCTTACAATGCCAGCATCCCATATGGACGCTGGTTTGATTTTTGGTTGCTTCACTTCTAATCCAGTTCCTTGATAATGCGTCTGGGCAAAGAAGTGGAAGATGACTTAAATGCTTGGGACTCTGTATACACATGGCAGAGCTAGATGAAGTTCCAGCATCCTGGCTTCTGTCTAGCTGCTGTGGCCATTTGGGGAGTAAACTAGCACATGGAAAATCTCTTCCTCCCTCTATAAATCTGCCTTTCAAAGGAATATAATAAGTGTTTTAAAAAGTAGTATATTCATATGAGGTAGCCATTAAAATATGTTGATAATTTCTTTAAAGACATGGGAACATGCTTATGTTATAATATCTGCAAAAATGTTGAGATATTTGTATACAGCTATGTAAAAATAGCAAGACATACAGAACAGTGGAATCAGTTTGGTCAAATGTCAACCAGGATTTGATGGCTCTTATTATCTGCCTAAACGTTTTTTTTTTTTTTTCATGGTAGAATGTGTTAATTTTTTAAGCAGGAGAATGAGGAAACTCATTATGACATCATCATCCTCTATCTAGATGAAACTAAGTTGATAATTTGCACTGATTAAGGTGACGGCTACATCATGGGTATTTAGGTGGCTTTCCTATCACCATGATGTCATTTACTGATTGCGATGTATACTGCTATTGTCAATGCCAGTCCTTCATCAACCACCTTTATTATGCTCATGGATCAGTGCAAGAGTAGAGCAAGGATTAATCAATGAAGTTCAGTCGCTTGCTTGTATGTGATTACAGTCTACACAAAAATATATTTCTGCAAACTACAATCGTAGCAACTATTATTTCAATATAGAAACACTGGACATGTATTTTACCTAATGCAGTCATGATCTCAATCTTTCTTTAGAAAGCCCCAAATTCACATTTATTTATTTTCAGATATGCATTTAGGTAATTATGAAGATGTTTTTGGCACGTAAGGTCAGGTCCAAATGGTACACTGCAGAGTAGTAGATATTTCTTTAAAAGATTTATTTATTTATTTATTTGAAGGCAGAGTTACATAGAGATCTTTCATCTGCTGGTTACTTCCCAAATGGCTGCGACCAGCTAAAATTAGGTTGGTTCAGGAGCCAGAAGCTTCTCCTATCCCAAGTGGGTTCAAGGGCTCAAGGACTCAGCCATTTTCAGCTGCTTTGTCAGGCACATTAGCAGGAAACTAGATCAGAAGAGTAGCAACTGGACTTGAACTGATGCCCATATGGGTTGCTGGAACCTCAGGTGACAGCTTTGTCTGCCACACCACAGTGCCAGCCTCAGAGTAAAAACCATGATGCAGGAAAAAGAATTCTGTGTTTCAGTGAAGTTAGAAAGCTTTGCTTTGGGGGAGCTTTGCTATGTTACTCTATGTATGAATCCTGCAGTGGAGATTGAGTGTTAAGCACTTCCCAAATACAGTAGATGGTGCCTCCTTTTTGCATCAGGCATCGTGGGAGTCATGTTCTCAGGGTAGGCAGGAATCACATCTTTTAGTAATGTGTCCCTTTGGTTCTTTCCATAGACCAGAATGAGGCATCTACGCAGAATTCCACTCTTAGACACAACCCTGGCTGGGAGAAGATACATGCTGTGGGTAGTGTACTATCCCTCTGATGTGTTCAGTAAAAAGAAAGAAAGAAACAAAAAAGGCATACTCAAAGCAAGTAGCATAAAAACAGATCTGATCAGCAAATGAAACTCACCTCCCATCGTGTCCTCTCCAAATAGATTTAATTGGTTATTTCCCTGTAAAATGATATAGTAAAAATCATATACTTAAATAGTAGCCAGCACTAGGATACATAAACTACTACGCAACTCTGCAAAAATTAAGCCTCTAGACAGTCCTACACCAGACAAAATTTTATGGCGGATTCCAGGCATTAAGTTGCTAGTGGTCGTATAATAGGAAGGAACAGAGCTCATATTTCAACCTGGACCATCTGCCTCTCTGGTCTCTGAATGGTTGCAGTATTTGCCCCTCATTTTCTTGGTGCATAAGCTATCAGTACACCAAAAAATGACTTAAGAAAAGTGTTTGATATCAGAAGTGTATTGAAGATATGGTCACAGTTGTGCTACCAAAACTCCATTATTTGAAGCTGGGTTTGGCAAACTTTCCAAAAACCAGATCCTAAGTGATTTCAGTATTGTGAACCCTATGGTCTCCAGTGCAACTGGCTACAGCTAGTAGCCTCAGCGAGCAGGACACTGAAGTGAGAAGCTGATCCTGGCTCCCGCCTTTAAAATTCCATTTTATTTTATGTTTTTAAAAAAGATTTTTTTTATTGGAAAGGCAGATTTATAGAGAAAAGGAGAGAGAGAGATCTTCTGTCCATTAGTTCACTCCCCAAATAACTGCAAGAGCTGGAGCTGAGTTGATCCAAAGCCTGGAGCCAGGAGCTTCTTGTAGGTTTCCCACATGGGTGCAGGGTCCCAAGACTTTGGAACATCCTTAACTGCTTTCCCAGGCCACAAGCAGAGAGCTGGATGGGAAGTGGGATATGAACTGGTGCGTTTGAGGTTAGGATCTAGCCACTATGCTACCACATTGGACCCAAAATTTCATTTTATTTAAAAAATTAAATGGAAGCTGCACTTTCCTTGGTGGTTGAGGACAAATTTAGAACAAATTTTATTCATTTTTAGAGGGTTCTAACTTTGACTTTACTATCTTGACTAGATGTAGAACTAGGCAGGTTACCCACAAAAATTTTTTTTATATATTTATTCTTTTATTTTCCAAAAGGCTTTATACATTTTTGGTTAACTTGCAACAACTGCACATATTTATGGGATGCAGTATATTTGAAGACATTTACACAACATGTACTGATCAAATTATACAGTTACATTTAGTGAGAATTTCCATTTCCACCCATGTGTTTATCTATCTTATTTTTCCATTCCGTTAGTCTTCACAGGTAACAACAACTGAAGTTTCTTTTCAGGAACATAAAAACCAGCTTCAGATATCCAGTGAAGATTACACTTCAATGTACATATGTACTCTTATGATCTTTATTTTTACACAAAAGCATATTTTTATGAGACATATTTATGTTTAGTATGTAAACAAGGCTACTTCAAAAATTCACAGAGGAGTGTGTATTTAGTTAGTGCTATTCAGGCTGATTAAGATGGATGAGTTTTGGGTTCGACACCTGGTGAGAGCTGTCAGTTCCAGTTTCCTGCTAACGCCTATTTTGGCAGACAGAAGGTAATAACAGGTTCCAGTCACTCACGTGGGAGACCCAGGTTGAGTTCTCCATGTCCGGCTTTAGCCATGCCCAGTCTTGGCTGTTGTGGGTCTCTGGTCAGTGAAGCTGCAGATGGAAGCTCTCTCTGGCTCTATGTCCCTGTCTCTGTCTCTTGCATAAATTTAAAGAATATTTAGGACCTGGTGTGGTGGCTTAGCAGCTAATGTTCTCACCTTGAATGTGAGAAATGAGGATCCCAAATGAGCACCAGTTCTAATCCTGGCAGCCCCACTTCCCATCCAGCTCCCTGCTTGTGACCTGGGAAAGCAGTGGAAGATGGCCCAAAGCCTTGGGACCCTGCAGCCATGTGGAGACCTGGAGAAAGCTTCTGGCTCCAGGCTTTGGATCAACTCAGCTCCAGCTGTTGAGGTCACTTGGAGAGTGAATCATTGGATGGAAGATCTTCCTCTCTGTCTCCCCTACTCTCTTTATATCTGAATTTGCAATAAAAATAAACATATCTTAAAAATATTTAAGAAGTTTGTGGGAAATTAAGTTTAAAGATGTTTATTTCAGTGCAAAAGATCCATGCAATAGTTTTTCACAATATATTTATCCTTGAACTTTCGGAAAGCCTTTCATACTAATGTATAATATACTGTTTTTTCATTTGCTTTTCACCTATTAACATATCCTGAAAAAGCTTTCCTCATTAATATGGAATGTTCTTGGTTGCACAGTATTTTATTAGATGTGCAGTCCTATTGTGTTTTTAAAAAATAATCCTTAATTGATGGACTGTTGAGTTTTTTTTTAAAACATTTCTTTTTTTTTTTTTTGAAAGAGTTACAGAGAGGGAGAGGCAGAGGCAGAAAGACAGAAAAGTCTTCAATGGTTCACTCCCAAATGATTGCAATGGTCCCATGCCTGGGCCAGGCTGCAGGAGCCAGGAGCCAGGAGCCAGGAGGTTCATCCATGTCTCCCATGTGGGTGCAGGGTCCAAACACCTGAGCCATCCTCTTCTGCTTTCCCAAGGACATCAGCAGGAAGCTGAATTGTGAATGGAAAAGCCTGGACTTACATGGATGCTCATAAGGGATGGCAGCACTGCAGGCAGTGGCTTAACCCATTATGTCGCAGTACTGACCCAGAGTTGTTTGCAGGCTTCAGTTTTGGAGAAGTGGCAGAGTGAATTCATGTGCATAAGTGTCACTTCATGTACATATATTTCTGTAGGACAGATTTTGAAAGGGGAGACTGCGAAGGCAAAGTGTACACATACCTATAATTTTGATAGTTTGTTTTTTGCCCAAGTGCTCCCCACACTGATTGTATCATTTTGCTCTGGCTGGTACTTTACATATCCTTTTGGCTTTAACTCACTGCAAGAGTCAGTTAAATGAAGGCGTGTGGCTTAACTAACCCTCCCTTGTGGGAAACTGCCTTGAAAACACTGTTTAAGATGGAGCTGGCATCCTTTCTGGAGCACACCTCTCCAGGGCAACTCTACTGGATGCTTTCTGAGATTTGCCTGTACATTCAGAGTTATTCTAGGAGAGAGAAAAACTTTTAATAGGATAGTTGGTCAGAGACACATTTGCATTAATTAATTCCTTTCTGTGAATAAACATCAATTATACCATCATCAGCCTCCTCATCAATTCCCCTGTTGAAGGCACCACACTTTGGAGCTGCATAGTGGGACCCTCAATCCAACCCTTTTCAACTTGACAGATGAGGAAGTTGATGATAGTGAGATCATGTGAGGGGATCGTGGCCATGCCACAAAGTCCTTGGTGATACCATGGACGGGATGGAGATCATACCTCTTATCACATTGCTCTTACCCTGTTAGATTTGGTTCCATCGGCAGAGCTACAGTAGTGGATGCTGTTCATGCCCGCCTCTGCACCTGACTATGGTACCTGTTCCCCAGCTGCTGCTAAGGGCTCACAGCCATCTAGCTCCTGCCTGAAATTGTTCTCTGGAGCTCCAGCTGCAGGATCAGACTGAAGCTCAAATGCAGCCAGGACCATATCTTTGCTCATTTCTTCCTGGACTCCAGCATTCCTCCTCTTTTCCTGAGAACATACAGCAGTAGCTTGCATAACAATCCTCATCTCAGGCTCTGCTTCTAAGGAAGCCAACCTAAAACAGGAGCTATTGGAAAAAATTGATATGCTTGTCCACAGTGTAACTGCATCATAAGAGGCTTACCATGTTTTATGGAAAAGGTGTATTGAATCAGAATCTGCTTACCATGCAACAGTGATGGAATATATTCAGGGGAAACCACTGAGTCCTCTCCTTCAACTGTTGACACATCTTTATATTACCAGACTTACACTCACCTTGTAGGCTAAGCTGTGTCTCATCTTTCTTGCATGAGAACATGATGCTTTGGGAATTTGATTGTGGCTAATCTGAATTCATAAAACAGTGTACCACATTATAAAAGGGCCTCTTTCACCTCATCTGGCTTCTTGAGCCTGACCTGTTTTTATCTATAGCCTTTTATTCTGTTTGTGCAAATGTTTCAAATGAGCCCCAGTTTTATTTCCATTAGTTCGTTGATAATGAACAGGTTTCTGGGACATAGACACCTCAGTCACCAATCAGCCTATCAAATGGGTGTTTAACTGGGTAGCACTGTTTTGCAATGGCTTTCAATGAATTGCCTGGTTCTAATGTGAAATCTTTTGTTAATAAACTTGCCTAGTATCTTTTTGTTCTTAAAAGATTTATTTATTTTTACCTGAAAGGCAGATCAGAGAGAAAGATTTTCCATCCACTGGTTCATTCTCCTAATGGTCACAATGACTGAAGCTGACCTGATCCAAAACCAGGAGCCAGGAGCCTCTTTTGGGTTTCCCATGTGGTGCAGGGTCCCAAGGCTTTGCACCATCTACTACTGCTTTCCCAGGTCATAAGCAGGGAGCTGTATGGGAAGTGCAGCAGCTGGGGTGGGATCTGACACCCTCATGGGATGCTGGTGCTTGCAAGATGAGGATATATTCAACTGAGCCAGTGTGCCAGGCCCATCCTGGTATTTTAAACTCACAAGTGAGCATTTACCTGCACATACCCAGGGGTGAATGAAAAGTGTTTCTAATCTTGGCGAAATGAGATGTCACTGGAGGCACCAAGTCCTATTTCTTTTCCAAAGCTTACTACTTTCTGTATGAAAGGCCTGACAAGGAGCGGCTCGCTCCCCTCCTCCCGAGGACAGAGGAGGAAAAGAAAAAACCTGAAACTTATGCCCCATCCACCTTCCTCTATACCTGAACCTCTCTGCCCTAATCAGAGGCACACATGAGTGTGCATCCCTTTGAACCATGCAAACAATATTAAAAAGAAAAGACTTTAAAAAGAAAGACACTGACATTAGAGTATCATTTGGATATGGAGTGTTTGGTACGCAGGTTAAGACATTGCTTGAGACACCTGCATCCCGTACTGGGGTGTCCGGTGTGAGTCTTGGCTCCTCCACCTCCAATTCAGCTTCCTGCTGATGCACACTCTGGTGGGTAGCAGGTGATAGCTCAA